TATATGAGAATGAGTAATGGAATTAGAAAATGGGACCCAAGAGGAGGGACTACAGACAGTTTAGAAAAGCTCCAACAGGGCAGGAAGCCCCATCAAGGCCTGTTTCAGTTGAAGAGGTGCATAAGGGCATATAATGCAAGTCAAGCTTTTGGTGCTCCAAAGAGAACATTCTATTTTTCCACCATAAAAGATTTCTATTGTTAGCATTCATTCCTAACTGATCTCGTTAGTTTTGTATACAATACTGGAGAAACATCCCTTTCCTAACAAGTAACTGAATTTTGTGGCCTGCCAAGATGAAGAATAACACATCATTCTTTTGAATATTTCTTTAATATTACATTTAAATATTCTCTTTAAATACAGCATTATCACAATGTAAAGGACCTAAAAGGCAAAAACAAAAAAATTGTTTTCAGAGAACCAGATAAGCTTTGGATTCACATTGAAAATACTACCTGTGTACAGTAAATGAGAAGGGAAATTGGAAAATGAGTTGCGGTAAAAAGTTATTTCTTTTGTCTAGGCCTGGACTGAACGGGGATTGAAGCTATCTGCTTCTGTGGTCAGAGGCCTAGCTTTTCTAGCAACAATGAGCTACAATTCTGTCCAACTCAAGTAGCACCAGAAATGAGATGGACTAAATTGTATAGGAAAGGCCCTTTGCTTGACAAGACAGTTAATGCTAAATGTTAATATTTAGCATTTAAAAGCTTGGGATCGGTATGAGTCGGAATTGTAAAATTAAGGGATGGACTTAGATTAAGAATCTATTTTCTTCAGAAAAATCATTATCTTGAGGGTTGGCAATGAGTTTAATAATTAGATTCAAATTCTTGGTTTGATCCCAAAGGTTAATGTGTCTCTTACTGAGCAGCTGGAATCCACTTCCTAGATTAGGAATACCTCCTAAGGAGAGACTGTATAGAGCTCACCCTCCCCTTCTAATACAGATTTTCAGAAAGATTCTTCATAGTCAAATTCCCAATTAAGCTTCGGTCTTGTATTTGAGGGGACCAGACCAAGGTAGGGACTTTTCGTGAGGCTAGAGAGCAGAGAATAAGGACCTATATACTTAAGAACTCTCTGCAAAATGTAAAATGCAGCAAAAAGGAATGAAAAGGAGAGGCGAAATGGGTTTAAAAGATGTATCTGTGTTAAGTACAAGGCCTTTCAGGCTCAGTTTAGAGATTCTACAGGTGAAGTGCTGCTGTGACATACATGAAGGTTGCTTTAAGACACCAGGTTTGTAATATCCCACAAGAAAAGGCTTTATGAGCAAGATAAGTAGGAACAGTTATGTCTCCCACCAAAAAAAATGTTTTTCACTTTGTTCTTTCCTGTTTAATAAACCACATCAGAGTGAAGCATGGCATAAAGGATGTTAGAGAAGAGTGTTTTGCTCACTATTGCCTCCATTTTAAAACAAAGGCAAAGATAACTTTGCTAATAAAAAGAATTCAGTGGTGTTCAATGGAACACATCCAGAACATAAGCTAGACATAAGAGGAATAGGAACCATATCCCCCAATAGAGGTAAGAACTAAATTTGAGTCCCATTCTATAGACCTCAAAAGGGGTCATCAGAACTTGAATTCTTTGGAACCTAGAAACTGACATTTCCAATTGTATGCAGCATTGAAGAATTGGTTTGGCTTCCAATATTTATATGTCAAGATGGGGGGGGGTCCAATAAATATTTGCAATTCTTGGAGGGTGAACTGGAATAGCATTAAGAACTCTCTAGCCCTGTATGTCCAAGAAGGACCATGAGGGTAGATGCAGAAATAAAAACCCAAACAACAAAAAATAACTAGTTGGTGACCTTAGATTGCCACATCCTATATTCCTTTAAAGCTCAAATCTTCCAAAGGCAGGGAAAAAAGACCTGGGTGAAAGGAAACATGGCACAAACTAAGTCATCTTCATTCTAGAGAGCAGCCTATTCTGCCTCCTTTGGACAAGTAATGCTCCATATATGCCCCCCAGGGGATGTGTGAGCCCCAGTCTAGAGCTGCCTGATAGAGCTAATATTAGACACACACAGAAGACTTGGGCTCTTTATACCACATCCCCAGCCAATGTAGCTATTTTTCTTTAAAGGAAAAAGGATGGGGGCAGAAGGGCGAGTGCGGGGACACGAATGACAAGTTAAACTCTAGTACCTAAGAACATGAGAAAGAAACAATTCAAGTTACAGACCAGGAATCCCCAGTGTGGGGAATAGGTCAGGGAACACCAAACGTGTCAAATATTAACTTATTTACCAAATAGGGGTGCCAGGAAAAGGTGGTTAAATTTTTATAAATCCTGGAGGCTTTTTACAGAAACAGACCCTTCTACCCACTCCTCTCTAGATTCGACCAGGTGACATTTCCAACTGCATTATTAAGACATACCAAAAGGGGATATCAGAGTAACCACTGAAGAAAATGAAAATGAGCTTGTACCCCACCTGGAGTTCAGAAGAGAAGGGGCTTTGCCATGCTATTCAAATTATGTGTTCTGGTCCCTACATAAAGAAGAGCTGCTTGAATCACCCAGTGTCTCCTGTGAGATCCTAGTTCTTTGTTCCGATGGCCCAGAAAGCTCAGTATTCGGCACTATGCAGCTTCCTCTGCCCCAAGACTATCCCCAGATCAACCTGGGGCTGGTCTCTTTTGTTCTGTTTACCCTTTAAAAAATACTTGTGCGATCCTTTCTCACCTGTTCCTTAAAGACCCAATAAAATAACATGTGAGCAGCAGCTGCTTCTACAGTTTTGTTTTGAAATGGTGTTAGATAAAATAAGGGAATAAATAGAGAATGGGTAAGAGGCAGAATCACCATCCCTGTGTCACACTGTCAGAGGGAGTTCTAGGGAAGAATCTTCAGGGGGCCGGTCTTCGCTCTGCTGTGAGGTCTTCTCCACCATACAGCCCTCTTCGCTGTCCGTGCGGAAGGGGAGGTTTGAGGGGGACCAAGAGGGGCGGAAGTCTTCATTCTCCAGCTCCTCTGGGTTACAATCTTCGGGCACTAGTGCTTCTAGAGTGGATGTTTTCCCCACCTCTGGTTTACAGAGGGCAGCCGGGTCTGTGGGGCTACAAGCCACCAGTGAGGTAACAGGGAGAGAGAAGACATTCAGATCCTTCTCCTTGGAGAAAGAGGGTGGAACTTCTTCTGTACTAGGCTCTCCTTTCACCCCCAGGACTGGCCTCTGCTCCACCTGATAATAGACCAGGGGCCCACTGTTCAAGTAGGACGGGTTGTTCACTGCTGAGGCAGTTGCATGATCTGAGTTCTCGGCAAAACACAGGACGGAGGATCCTGGGGTCAACTGAGCCTGGATGAGAATGGGGGCTGTCAGGCCTGGGCACAGCTCCTCAGGAACAGCCAAGGGCTCCTCGAGGATGCACACACCCAGGCTCTCTATGCTAGAGTCCAGGCTGGCACTAGAGCCGCTGGAGTCTTCCTCTGCCTTGAGCCGTTCCAGTTCCTCTGCACTCTGTAGGTGCATCACTGCTGTCTCATTCTCAGCAATGAACTCCTGGAAGTCCTGTGTCTCGGAGCCCTGTGCTCTTGTCAGGCTGCAGCTGGCAGTGGGTGAGGGCTCCTCATCTGGGGCCGGTGGGCGGCTCACCTGCCGCTTGTTCTCCAGCTCCAGCTTCATGATGGTGTGGAGGTAATGAGTCCGGACCCGGATTGGATTAAATTCAATACGCCCCGCCATGTTCCCACAGCCGTCTCGGGAGCAGCCACAGGGAAAGGACATGCGATCTACCTGAGAAGGGGACAAGGAGGTTGAGGCAAGATGAGACCAACAGATTTAACAATGGCAAAAGGAGACAGCTGGCAAAAATAGGCAGTTGGGATTTGAGGTCTTCTTACAAGAAGAGAAACAACCAATTCAAAACATAACATGCTACATGAAATAAGTCAAAGACAGACAAATACCATATGATTTCACTCATATGTGTAATATGAAAAACAAAGGAATAAACAAAACAAACTCGTAGACACAGAGAACAAAATGATGGTTGTCAAGTGGGAAGGGGGTGGGGAGGCTGAGTGAAAAAGGTGAAGAGATTAAGAATTATAAATTGGTAGTTACGAAATAGTCACAGGGATGTAAAATACAGCACAGGGAAAATAGTCAGTTATAATAACTATGTATAGTGTCGGGGGGTGGGGGGTACCAGACTTATTGAGGGATCACCTTCTAAGCTATATAAATGTCTACCCACTATGCTGTACACCTGAAACTAACATATAATTTGAATGTCAACTATAATTTAAAAACTTTCTTGAATGTTAAAAAAACATTTTTAATTAAAATTTAAAACGACAATAAAAAACATAATATGCAGTGTGAGCTAACAGAACACTAGATGGTAGTTATTAGACCACTAGCGTTTTAATTCTAGTTCAGCCTCACTTCTCTCTCTAGGGCTCTGTTTCCTCTTCTAAACAAAAAGCAGACAAAAAATCATATAAAAGGGCCCTTCCAGTCAAAAAGTCCAGAGATGCCTTCTGAATGCCAACAGTTCTCAGAGTAAAAGAAATTTATGTGCTTCAGACTTTTCCAGAATTTACCTGGTTTATTGAGAAAACAAAAGAGTGGGGCCTAAACCTACAACCTTTTGCAATGACAGGCATGGGAAAGGAAGTGGAAGACCTAGCTAGTCCAAAGCAATACATTCTACGGAAACGAGGCAAAAATGCCTTAGTTTGCTAAGGTGCTATAAAGGTTCAAACAAAATTACAGCCAGCTTTTCACCACTTGCTTCAATTTCCCCTGATGTTTGACCAGTTTGTTTCTGAAGCAGTTACCAATATAATTAACTTACAGACCAGGGATATCTGGAAAGGAGATGCTTTTTACCTCCTTATCTCTATTGGATCCCAAAAAGGGAATAAAACAAACCAAAACACCGCATGCCAAAAATAAAAATTAAGAACACAAGTAAGCTACTAAGTTACGTACAAATACACAATGTCTTCTTATGATGTCAAAGAACTCTCCATTTCAGTTCTTAGAAACAGTCTAATTATTAGGACTGTCCTGAGGTCTTTGTATAACAGACTAATTCATTATGAGACTTCAGTCTGGAAAGCAATATTTGGCCAGATCCACTAAGCTATTTGATACCTTCCTAGAAATAAAAAGGTTTTTTTAGGATAAGTTCAACTAAAGACTCAGCATTTACATCCTCAGAATATAAGTTCCAAATAAATTTAATTCTTCGGGATGATACTGCTGTTTTCAATTCAAATGTGTCTTTCAACCTATCCCTTATCAGAGGCCAACTAGGAGATGATGCTTTCTATCTTTTAGGACACTATGAATTTAGGCTCTGCCAGGCCAAGTGAGATCCTGAATGACAGGATCCAAGAATTATTTTGATTTTTACAAAACCGAAGTACAAGTACTGTGAATTAAGTGTTCGCAAGACACAATCTAAAGTAAAGGCCTACCTTACTTCTCTGCTTCCTTTTAATCTGAAGGAATCAGCCAATATGTAGAGAACAGCTCCTAAATGTTAAACTTACTAACCCCTGTTCCTCGATTTGCTGACAGCTACTTCTTATTACCCTCCAGGTGTAAAACATAGACAAGATCATTGGTATCTCCATGGCCTAAGAATCCTGTCATGTTGGTTTTCTTAGCTCATGGAGGAGGGTCATGGGACTGGGGAGTGTTCAGTCATGGGGAATCCACCCATGGATGAGAAGCCTCCTATGTTCACTGGCCACATCCCTCTGACTCTAGTACAGATATACCACCTCGGGTCAACTTGGACTGACCTGGCATTTAATCCCAGCTTGGCTACAGGCACATGCTTCTGGGTCACAATACAGTCGACAGTCACAACCACACTCTTCTCGTGACAGGCGGATAGCTCGAAGTTCTTGCTTCTCTTCAGCATCAATGCGGTGGACCCCAGAAGCCCTCAGCAAGGCCCGTCGCCGTTTGGTGGGCAGAGGCTGCAAGAAGAAGTAATCATCCACCTCCACATTTTCCACATCAATATCTTCATCGGAAACATCATCCAATGTCAGGCCATCAGCCTCCACCGACTCTACTGTCCCGTTCTTTGTCAGCTGCCAAGAGACAAGAAGGAAAGGTTACATACAGCATTAGCAGCACAAGCCTCCTCACAGAGAGCATCTAGAGTAGCATGATCCATCCAACTAAACTTTCTGCAGTGATGGAAATATCCCTGCTAATACAGAAGCCACTAACACATGTAAATGTGGCTAGTGCAACTGAGAAACTAAATTTTAAATTTTATTTAATTTTAATTAATTACAAACAGCCACAGAGGCTACTGTATTGGATACTGTAGGTCAAGAGAATAAATCTAGAGCAGGAAGACAGGAAACCTTATGCGGGTCTCACACCACCATGTCAACAGAAGGGACATCACCTTTCTGAATCAAAGTTTCTCAAAACTTCTGTCTCATCTTCCCTCCTAGAAGATAATCTGTTCCCACAAACATACCCTCTATTCCCAGACCTGTGTCCCTTAACTTTGGCTAACTACCTTGTAACACAGGGAGGAGAAAGTGTATCAGTGGAAGCCTTTGCTTCCAACCCACCGCCTAAAAGAAATACATTCTTTCTCCTTTCTAATCCATTTCTGATGTCAAAGAAAAGTTGTATGTGAGGTAGGGTGGCATATGTAATAATGAGTTACTACCTACAGGCAGAAATCTGGGTTCTCTGGGCTAAGAGGGATAGAGAGCCAGGAAAGGGAATCTTAGTAGAAAGACAGGTTAAAGACAATTCATAGTTGAATGAGTTTTGAAAACTCCCTAGAGAATTCAAGGAAAGAAAATGAGGTCTCATAATCCCCAGGGCTCTGGAAGCTACTAGCAGGATGAAAGCCATGCTACTGGAGGGTTTGGCTTATTTCATCAGACAGCCACAGAGTAGTGCTGGTAAAGGAACAACTCCTAAGAGAAATATGATGCAACAGACTTGGTTAATAAGCTACACACCTGTTTTTGTTTTGGGAGAGATTAGTAGAAAAATGAGGAGAAATAAAAGCAGTACTTCTGGGGATTCCCTAGTCTAGCATTTCTGAACCACGCAGGCCCGTTACAAGGGGCCTTTCTGCAGACCTCAGGATTGCTCCTGTCTATTTCACCAGGGTCGACCTACTCTTAATCATTCTCCCTCCTACTATCCTTTCAAAGAAAACAGATTAGAAATGCAATAGAAAGAAACCCATGTAGAAATCAGAATTTAATATGTCATGATAGAGGTGGCATTTTATATCAGAAAAAGTCTTCTAATCATTAAATGGTTAGGACAACTGGATATTCTTTTGGGAAAAAAATGTTAGATTCCCAATTCACATTATTTGTAATAATTAATTCCACATGGATAAAAGGCAAAAAAGGTAATAAAAGTATTAGAAAACTTATTGGTAAGTAAAGCTACCAATAAGTAAAGCAGCTTTTTTCTTTCCTTTTTTAAGAAAGACAGTCCAAAAGGAAAGCAAGTATTAGATGGCTTAGATGGGAAGACGCATAATACATATTTTTGAGACCAACTGCCTCCCCTATAGAGTGCTAAAGATAGGAAAAATTTCTAAGAAAAGAGTAAGCTAGACTTGGGGAGGGTAGAGTTTTCTCTTGACATAAAAAGGTGTATCAGATGCCACCATTGCTGCTGCTCACTAAATCTGCTAGTAAGGAGGAATCCTGTACCTCAGTCTTGAGTTTCCCTGGCCTTGTCTCTAGACCTCCTACAAGGGAGGCCACAGAACAGGATGGTATCCTGTTTTGACAGGTCATTCCTTTACCAGATTTAGGAGAGACGTTTTCTTCTTAGGCAAAGGTTAGAAAGCATTCATTGCAAATGATGAGAACAGTGTTTATCCAGCTGCTGCTAGAGCAGCAGGAAGGTGATGGGGTCAGTGAGGGAATTCCTCAGACAGAAGGGAAACCTGAATGTCAGTCTAGTTAGAAAAACAGGTGCAAGGCTTTAGGAGTAGGCTTAGGGAAGTAGACAGAGATCTCAAAGGGAGAAAGGAATGAGATCTAGTTAACCTACATCCTCTGGCACCAGCTCTCCAACGCTACCACATTCTGGTGTCTCATTAGGATTTAACCCACAACCCTGGAAATAATGCAGCCACTTATTTTAATATGGGCCCACAAGAAACTTGGCCAGGCCTAAAACAGGGCTCTCCAAATTTGGAACTAGGAACTCCGGGGGAAATTTCTGCAGACTGGTGAAAACTATGGCTGTGGAGTGCTAAGCAGTGCTAAGAGAGCAATTGGGTAGCTATAAAGAGCCATCTGGGATGGGTCTTCTTCCAGCCCTCCTCTCCTCCTACACTTAAAGAGCTGGTGCGGCATTAGACGGCAAGCACAGTACTATACAAATCAAAATAACTATTTCATGATGCTGTTGTTTACACCAAAAAGACCATCACCTAGAGGTGATGGGGTTTATAAAAATAGTACAATCCTTTCAGACAATGTAAAAGATCCAAAACCTGTTCTGTGCATCAGAGCAATGACAATCATCTGACAAGAAACTGGAACATCATGCTTCCTCAGGTTCTAGGGGTGGCAGACTTGAATGTCACATTTTAAACTTTAAAAACATTTGTTGAGGGAGCGAGGGTAGAGAAGCCATTTTGCTCTCTCTAGTAGACTCCCTGTAAGACACAAAAAGAAGGGTGTCTCAAACTGAGATTTGATTCCAAATCTGAGATGTCTCATTAGAAAGATCTGGAATCCATACGCCAAGGGCAAGAGTCAAATAAAAAAGTCAAGAGACCTAATGGTTTCCCACTTTATTTTGGCACACGGGAAATACCAGACCCCAGACCCCCTAGGCACCTTCATCTTCTTGGCATGGAGTTTCTCCTCCTTCAGGTGCTCACGAAGAATCTCCCGATGGTTCACCTCCTGCTCTTGAGCAAACTCACAGAGCGTGTAGCTGCGTACAGAGTTATGACGCTGGGCCATGCCCAGAGAGCTACCACCCTGGCTGGGCACACTGGTGAAACCCTGGCGCCGGGCAAAGTAGTATACAGTCACCTGGTCAAAACGTACATTCTTCCTCCGCAGCTGCTTCTGCCGCTTCAGGATGGATGTGGCTGAGAAGGGAGCACAGAGAAATTTTATTAACCCAGAGATGGACTGTTTGGGGAACTCATTCTTTCTCATCCATCTAGTTCTCAGCTATTCTCCAAAGGTGCTCCCTGTACTTAGAGACCTTGAACATCAGTTGGTCCACACCCCTGCCTCCAGACTGACTTCACCCGAACAGACCACCAAATCTATGTTTAGACATCAGTTGGGTAGATCTCTAGGTAATCTTTTCAGAATATAACAATCGAGACAGCGTCACTGTCCAACACAGCAGCTACTACCACATGTGGCAATTTAAATTTAAGTTAATTAAAATGAAACAAAATTTAAAACTCGGCTCCTCAGTTACACTGATCTCATTTCAAGTGCTCAATAGCCACAAATGGCTAATGGCTATCATAGTGGACAGTACAAGATACAGAACATTGCTATTATAATAGAAAATTCTATTAGACAGTGTCATAAAATGGGATAGCAAACTTCTTCTGTAAAGGGCCAGGTAATATGTATTTTACCCTTTGCAGGCCATGAGGGCTCTGCTGCAGCTACTCATCCCTGCCACTGTAGCATGAAAGCACTCATAGACAATAGGTGTGGCTATGTTCCAATAAAACTTTACTTATAAAAACAGGCAGTGAGCCAGATTTGGCCTACAGGCAATCTCTGATGTATAGTATCAGAAGTTCTTTCCAAGAAACTAATTGAGCTAGAAGAATTAAGCAATCTGGAGTTGCCTCAGTTGTCCAGGCAATAAGCATTTATGTCCTGCTAGAGCTACCATTTCATGGAACTCTACAGGACTCCGGTGGGAAAGGTAGAATCCTGGACTACTGCTCCTGCAATTTAATTCAACTTATTCTGGGGCCCCACAAACCAAGCAAATGTAAAATCAGCTAGAATAAATCAGACTTAAGTCTATGATACTAAAGCAATGAGGTCTTCCAAAGAACTAAGAGCTAAGGTTGAGCTAAGAGTGGGAAAGATTATGATTAAGGGCAAATCCCCAAGCTGGACAGAAGCTGTCTCAAGAGCTTTAATGGTCTCTGATGCTTAGGGATGTGCATATACTCACGTGTGAAGCTGGAGGTTGTAGGAGGATTGAGGCTGTCACAGCTGTCAGCACTGTCACTGCTAGAGATCTCATCATCTGAGTTGGAAACTGATGAGCCCACATCTACATCATCAAACTTCCTCTTGAGACCCGAGCTCATAAATGCATCCATTGGTTTCAAAGGGGTTTCCTTGGAGATCCCACCACGCTGGCCCCAAAGCCCCTGCTCACCACCAGCTAGCCAGGTGCATTAGGATTCTGCCTAGGGGAAAAAAGGAATCAGCATTCCTGTCCTAAGACAGACCCCTTCCAAGTCTATAAATACAGCTCTCCAACTGAAGACAGAAAGCATCTGGGCTATCACTGATGTCTGGTCCCTTGAGACTAGGCCATTTCTCCGCTAATTCCCGCCAACATTCTCCTACTTTTCTTTCCCCTCTGCCCCACCCATTCTCACTCTTAGAATAATGAGATGAGAAACAGCAGCACCTTTCCCAGTGGAGTGAAGGCCTTTGGTTCCTAGCCAGCTGAGCTCTAGGCTTCATTAGCCCAGGCATAACAGTAGCTGCTCTTCTGATTACACAGGAGAGCTCTCCAAGAGGTCAGTAGGAGGGATTTGGAATCAAAGGCAGAATTAGGCCATGCCTAAACCCAGACTAGATCCAATTATTTTTCCTAGTGAAGATATAGGCTGGCATTTCCCAAAGTGTTTATATGAAATAAACTAATTCCATGGATGTTAATAGCTTTTATAGGGAAATAGGGCTGCTCTGTCAAAATAGTTTAGAAAACTGCTTAGGAAAGGACTTCTTAGAGGCTTTTAACATGCTAATGAGCATGGGGAAGGGGGGCAGAAAATAGAATGCAGTGTTTCACACACCTGAATATGGAACCCTTTTTGTTTTCCAGAGTATTTTAGGGGCAAATGATCCCTGGATCACACTTTGGGAAATACTGCTCTAGGCTCTCAATTTCTAAGTACATGGGCAGCCAGGCAGCCAGGAAAACACTTTACCCAGATCTTCACAAGTGTAAAGTATCTCACCAGGCTCCTAAAAGGTCAAATTTGGTTCTAAAGAATGGACTAAAGATTAGAATCTGCACTAGCTTCAAAACTCAGAATCTTTCCCAATTTCCTACTGCTCCATTAAATAGGGCTCCGCTGGTCTATCATCTTCCTCTGTGCAAGGAAAACTTCGCTTTACCACCTCTGCCCTCTGTAAAGAAACCAGCAAAGGAAAAACAAATAGCGAAAGTCACAATTTACACTGGTCATATAGGTATGACAGACACTGTCTTCCACATGCTGTCACACAACCAAGGAGTCTGGGGTACAAATTTTTTTTCTCCATCTTTGGAAATAACGTTCCAAAGGATAGGAATCTGCTTGACAGAAATACTGTCAGAGCCAGAGCCACATGTGTTGATATGAAGCCTCCCTCCTTTGCCACAGTAAGGCCAGAATCTCCCCAGACTATGATCTCACTAGTTGCTAATTATGCAGCAAGAATAACAACACTGCCCCGAAAGACAGGGCTGCATTACTGCAGAGCAGCTACTCAAAATATACTGTGGTGTCAAGAGATGCCTGCTACAGAATTGTTTTTCTGGACTGCGTCTCTTGGAAGAATTTGCCTGCTCTTGGATAAGCTCTACATAGTCAACCAGAAGTAATAACTACTTTAAAGACAATATTTCCAAATATATCTAGCCAGATCGCATCAAAATTCTGCCTTTAAGTCACAAGATGGACCTAAGAAACCTTGGCCATATATACAGTCTCAGACAAGCGAATTCCTGAAATAAATTTGGCCGTGGAGATAAACAAATAATCAAGCAATTGACAAGAACTGTAATTAAATTAAAAAATGAGCCCAGTATATCGATTCTGTTCTTTAACTTACTGATCTTGCCATCAGAGGTCACATTCCTAGGACATAGTAAGAATGGAGAGAGACAAGGACTTTTTATGGGTTAAGATTTCAGCTGAGTTTAAAGACATCTATTAACTAACAATTTTCTCATTCTATTCTATTATGGGGGGAGCTTTGCAATTAAGTACTAATGTGGATGGGATAAAAAAAAAAATGAGACAATAATGTTGACTACTGAATTTAATTTTTTCTCCCCACTTAAAAACCTTACCAAACCACATGAAAACTCAGAATGACCTGAAAATTCTGCTTTCTCAGAAAGGGCTTAAGTCCAGCTTCAGTTTTAATTGAGATCCAGCTAGTGCTACTACTAGGAAAGTGGCTTTTCCTCAGCCTGGAAGCACTCAGGGACTTATGACTGAAAGCAAATGTGCACTTCTGGTTCTTTCCTAGTTGTCCCTTTGCCTCTGGTAGTGTGGCTTCCCTGTGAATATTTCTTTTTAAGTCCTGCATGAGAATGAGATTGGGTCTGGTCCAAAATCATATTTATTATCAAAATTCTCCACTGTCTTCACTCAGTTGCCCCCAGGGATATCACTTCTCTTTGGTTAATTTTGAGCACTTTGGTGAAGCAAGTATTGCTGGCTGCTTGTTCCATTCTTGTTTGCCCTTTCCACTTCGGGAATAGTGGTTTCTATGCAATGATAGGAGGTAGACAGGAAGAAAAAGAAAAAAATGTGTAACTTAGAAGAAAAATATTTTCCTTAAAGTGCCCAAGAATAGTAACACCCACATTGACTTAGCTCTCTTCAACCCTACCCAAGATCTGTTAGCATCACTTTCTCTGGCATTAACTCATTTAAAAAAATCCATCAATTTGGTCTTGACAACCAATATCAAGTTTAAATTTCAACCCAGCTCTCCTTGTCGAACTCTCTGGTGTGAACTTGACTTGTCAGACCAAGATGTTCACTGGGTACCAAGAACAAACCTCCCATCCACTTTCACAGTGGCCTGAAGAGATCTTGCTTTGCAACAGCAACAACTAGAATAGATTCCACAATTACAATTTATCAAATCAATCTCCTTTCAAACCACAATTAGAAACCAGTCATTTCCACTCTCTCAGCTATTTGTTGGCAGAGGATCAATGTGTGTATTCAAGAAACAAACACACTTATAAGTTATAGTCCCAGAACTTAAACCCATACAGAAATAATCAAGGTGAGACTGAAAATGCAGGTCATAACTGACAGTTAACTGTCAAAATAAGCAACTCAAACAATAAATGCTTATGGAGAAAACAATGCAAACCTCTATAAAAGCTTTTAAATGCCAGTAAAATGAAAAGTCAGCAGACACTTTCTGGCTACCTGCCTTACAGTTTTTTCTCGAGTGTTTCTAGCTGAACATTTCCCAAAAGTATATGAAATAATTCAGATCCACAGTATGTAGAAGATATTAGGCTAGCACCAAACAAAACAGATCTAGAGCATATGCGTATTTTTAGTACTAGATCTAAGCTTTTTAAGGCCTATAAGGATTACTTTAACAATCCCCCAAACGAGCATGAGACTAGCAAAATAGGGGTGCCCTTGTACCTGCCACAAAATTTTGTGGATACACATTTATAAAGTTTAAGTAATAAAAGCCTATCTAATGAGTCCAAAATAATAAGACAAGGTACATCTCACAGGAGAAAGCCTCTCCACTCAACTGGAACCCAACCTTCTTCTAAAGGTCAAAGGACTAAAATCTCTAAGTAAGAGCTTCACAGCTACCATCTGTAGCTAGGTTACAGGAAGGAAGGCTTGCTGCTAAGTGTTATGATAAACCTGAATAATATGACCTGTCCCATTTTCTCCTCTTACAAAATATGTTGTGGTCGATTCTTAAATATCATGAATTCTGTGGATCTATGCATTCTTGTGATTACCCCAAGATCATGAACTTTTTAAAGCACTCAAGTAAAAACATCCTGTTTAAACTAGGTAGTATTAAAAGGAAGACATCCTCCAACCCTCGCTCCCTGGTTTTTACCCATTCGCTGACACAGGTTAGAATCTGGCTTTCCATCTAAACTACCATCATATGGAAGACACAAGATCTTTGTGGGAGAACTGGCACATGATGCTGCAGGGACCATTAACTCTCAAGGATATCCAGTCATTTATAACTCTGGCACATACTAACATCCTTCTGGCTTTGGAGATTTGCAAGATGTAAAGACAGTAAAGAAAAGGAAAATGTGAATCAAGCATGGATTTACCTTGAACTGAAAACTGTAGGACAAGGGGACACTGTGTCTCTTGGGGATAACTTCTAACATTTCATATTGAAGAACAGTTTGTGTGTCACAATGCCACTCTAAACCCATTTAAAAAGATGAATCAAGACCATGGCCCTAAAAGGGATGGATGGCAGTCAGCTGCGTGTATGGGCCTGTGAAAAAGAACAAGCTAGCAACCAGGGCAAATGATGCTTTCGTTTCCCGATACGCCAGAAAAATGGGAGACATCAGAAACCTGAGCTGAAAGGACATGTCAAGTCACCAGTTCCCATTAATGGACACCGCCGCTGAATCTTTCAGCTCCCGGCCCATTTCTCTGATTCCTGCTAACCTTCCCGCTCATTCCAATCTTCTGCAGCCCCTACCCAGCCTTCCCATCCCTTCCTGCCTGCTACTCACTAATTCTCAACCACTCCTCCCTCATTTTCCTCTATTCTCCCTCCCCTTCCTTCACTTCCCTCCATCCTACATCACCTCCATTCCGAACTCAACCCTCATCCGCAATCCTGCTGGCTTCTAAGCCGTCCATCCGTCTCCCTCGAGCTGCCCCCGCAGACCCGGCCCGCGTCCTCGGCACCGCTCGCTCCCACGCTTCTCCTTACCCTTTCCCTTCCCAGTGGCGCCCTAGCTCCCCGCCCCCCGACCGCTCCCGACCAAGCCTCCCTCATTTCTGACCCTCCACCAGCGCGGTTCTGGGTTGACCACTCTTCCACAGTAGCCCAAGGGCCGATCCCGAGAAAGGACCAGGCGGCACCCTCCGCCCCGCACCCCCAGGCCCATTACCGGCCCCGCCGCAGCTGCCTCCTCCCGTGATGGTCTCTGCCGCCCCCGCTGCTGCCGCCGCCGCCGCCCTAGCCCGGTAGGAAGGAGGGAGGAGAGAGCGAGTCCCGGGACCGCGGCGACGGTCTGGGAGTTCCCAGGGCGGCAGGACTGGAGGAAAGGTGGGTGGGCAGGTCGGCCGGCAGGCGGCAGAGGGCAGACGGCTCCCGCAACTGGGGCGCCCCTGGCAGTAGCCACCCAGAACCGCCCCGGCTCCGGCTAACAATAGAGTCCGGCCGCAGCGCTCCGACTCTTATAGGCGCCGGCACGTCCTGACCGAGCCCCGGGGCAGGCTGGGAAATGGAGTCTATGTGCCAGCCCCACGCCCAGCAGCATGCCGGGAGTTGCAGGCGGCGACCGGCGCAAAGCCGAAACGCTAAGCAAATAGGATCAGGGGCAGCGTCTCTGCTGCAGGGGACCCTGGGAAAGCGAGTTAGGTGTCGCTGCAGCCTTTTGAAGAAGGGAGACCCTCAGCTACAGATCTTCAATGACTAAAGGAATTGTCCTCTAAATCTACTCTTTTCATTTCGCCAGGACCACACTCCCATGCCTAAAGGACATAATCCCCTTTATCCTCCCTCATGGGATCTTAGTCTTAAGCAGCGTGAGGTGCTGCAGCCTGCCCAAGGTATAGAAAAGGGAATACAAGCAATGTGTTATCTCAAAATGTATTGATGGGTTTTCAAAAATATTTTTACATGAACTCTGATCTTCACAACTTTGCAGCCCATTTTTATGATAGAAAAAACAAAAACTCAGAAGTCAGAAGTTATGTCATTGCCAAGGACACCCAGCCTTGGTTTCTTACCTCATTCAGAATAGTATATGTCTCTCCCTTGACCTATACGCCCCTACAAGATGTTGGTGCATCCTCTCGCCCCACTGCCCCCAATCTTGTCGTTTTGTTTCTACTTCTACTTTTCCCCTCCCTTACTCTGCTGTAACACTGGTCTCCTTGCGGTTCCTCCTGCAGTTCAACAGGACAATCATGCTCTCATCTCAGTACCT